CTCGATCGAGGCTTTCTAGACAGTGACAGAGAGCGGGTGGGAACCACATTTCCCCCCCATTTCCGTGCTGTTTCTACTACAAAGTGCTGCTACTTTCTATCATATGTGACTATGACGGCTGAATTTTTGTAGACGTCAAAGAAAGATGAAGCCAGCCTTTCAAATAACAAGAGCGTTCGGTGTGTTCCGTTTGGTTGACTGAAGCATAATTTCAAAGGAGGGACCTACGAGAAACACACTAAATGTTCTCACGAGGATCAGCAGCAGGGGCCGTTGTCACTAGAACCTAACTTTGGGGACACGCTGGTGGTGGCAGTTGGCACCCGTGGAGATGCTTGTTCTCTGACACTTGCAGACGTGGTCTGGGTGCGGGAGAAGATATAGAAAGCGTTGACATCTCTTCACGTGCCTGGCGGGTGTTTTCCAAGTGCAGTGTTTCAGGCTTTGATTCCACATGGACACCTGGCCCTTCTGTACTGCAGGACAGTATCGGAGGACGTCGTCCCTCTCCTCAACATCACATTTGACCCTGTGGCTGCCCAGGGACCTGGCGTCTGTCCATCCTGAAAGCTAGTGTCTAGTGGGCACTTGGAAAAACATTTCGAACAATATCCCTTCTGTTCATGACATCGGTTTGGCATCTTCATATAATTGGATTGCATTTAAAATAAGAACTAAATGAAAATAAGAATTTTGAAGGAGAAAACAATGTTAAATTCTTATGAAAGGCGCTTGCCACTGCCAACTCCCTTTTGAAAAGTAAAGCAGCTTTAAATATTTATTACATGCATGGTGCATTGAAGGGACAGAGTAGAATATGCATTACTAGATCTTAACTCAAAATGTAAGCAGAAGTCTTCTAGGCTTAAATTGGATTTCCCTATCAACCGAAAAAATCACAGAAATAGCATAAATATCTGCCGCTCTGTTTTATGATGTTGGAAACGCTTCTGAGCTCAGAGCGTGCTGAACTTTGATCAATAGTGCACTGAAGTGTACTAATTCTGTAGCTCTTCTACGAGGCACAATTTAAAAGAACAAGTTCTAGGGAAAAAAATTATTGCTAATGAATAATAATTCAAGGTTTATTAATAAAGGGATGCATTGAAATGAAACCTTCAAACCAAGGTCACGTTCTTCATCAGATGACCTTTGAATATGCCAGAATTAGCCAAATTCTCTGTAGTAAGACAATCTTTTCTAGCAAGAGAAAGAAGCAACAGTATATACCCATCAGTCTAATGACAACTGATTTTCCAAAAGTCTCCTTAAGGAATCTGTCCAATGTACTTGGACAGATAATGCAGTTAGGTAATATCCAGTATGTTAAGCACTTAAGTTTGTGTGTTGCTTTCGGATACTTTTGCAGGGCACACGGCTAAATTAACAAATCTGAAATCTTAATGGAAATATTAACCTTGTAGGATTATGAATTGAATTGAAATTTATTACACGTGCCATATTATTCAGCTTTGCTTTTAGAGTATAGCATCTCATTAGGGAAGACAGACAAATTTAAAGTGTCTTGATTCACCACGTTCGAGTACAGAGCTTTTATTCGAGGCTCACCCCATCGTCCAATGCTGTGATCGCCCAGGGACATGCACAGACCTGGAAGGAAATACTCTGTTCGTGAGTCAGAGGTCTTGTGGGCCACCAGAGGTTCCAGAATTGCATGACGGTGGCAAACTTTGGGTTCCTTTATTTGACTGGTTGGTCATTACCAAATCTTTATTCTAATCTCAATTCGCATGGTTTCGTTAACACTTTTAAAAAAGAAAACTTTAGTTTATTCCACATGTATTTTTCAAACTACCTTTAAAAAGCCAGTCATCCATCTATGTTTTCGTTTAAAACATCATAATGTACATTTGGACATTAAATTAAACTATGGCTAGGGAAGAGAGTTTATATTCAGTTCTTCTTTTTGTTCATGAAATCTATCTTTAAAAAAAGGCTGGCTCTGTGATTTGGGACTTAGCATATTCTTATTACAGAATGCACGAGAAGGACAGAAGAAGCTCAGAAATGTCCACATTTATCCCAAGCAGACTCGAAGACAAGACTCTGGGTATGGTCACGTGGATGGGCAGTGATTTCAGGGAGAAGAGGAAGGGAGGGACAGGTCAGCTAACGGAAACGGGCCACTGGTGGCAACAGGGGCTCAGTCCTGCGGGAGCCCCTCTGAGGGTGTGTGGTACATGCTCAGATCTGCCCGTGAGGGGTGTGGATGTAGAAGCTGGGGTATTTATCCATCATTTGCTTCCATGTTGTAAGGAAACTGTGGAAATAAACAGGTTGCAGGAGACCTTGGAGGAAGGCAGAGGGACTACGGGTGGGTCGCTGACAACCCCGGCTACAGGAAGCGTGACTAGAAACCAGTGTAAACACGGGGGTGTCTACTGGTTGCTTTAAATGCGGCAGAGTGCGCCGAGTCCGGGGCCGCACACGGGGCATCATCGTGAGATAACCATGCAGAACTGTGCCCACCGCGTGGTGCGGCCTGCCACGTCTTATTTTCCCTTAGCCCTGGACTCATCCACCACCCATCAGAACGAGTACAAAACTGTTTTTTTTTTTTAATCTAATTAAGCTGATCATCAGACATCTCTACGGACACACCGATTCCACTGGGATTTCTAAATATCTTAGGTCCAAATCCATAAGCTGTTATATTCCACATGCTAACATTCCTTTTCACTAGTTTAGAGGTCAATAAGTTTATAGTTCGTGTCTGCTTGCTTTGATTATGACAGACATTTCATGGCATCTCAGAGCGTCACGTCCCCGTCTGTTCCCGTCCAAGGGTACAGCCAGGCAGGCCTCCTGGCTGCGGCGGATGGCCATTCCACTCTTTGCTCCTCTGTTTAGGTTTTCAACATCATTGAATGTCATTCCCGATAGAGTTGGCTAGTAGCTGTCATTTTAGGATTTATTTTCTATTTACATTTCTCTCTGATTCTTCTTTGTTGTCTTGCTTTGGAATAACTGACGATCTCTTCCCCATGTTCACTGCTAGCTTGTTAGTCATATGTTCTTTCACTCTTTGTGTTTCTATTGTGGAAATTGCATGCTGTGCGTTTCATTTCTGTTATATTTTAGACCACGTAAGACATTATCCTCATTATTTTACACAATTGAGGACAATTTATATTTCCCTAGATGTATATATGGACATTTAATTTAGTAAAAGCTTGATTTATCCATTTCGTTTCTTAATTTAAATCGAAACGTCAAGATTTGAACAAAAAGGGAGATGATTATGAAGTAAAAAATATTTTCTTCATTTCTTAAGTACCAATAAAATTTGGCGCGTCAGCATCAGCACTTACGGCAAGCGGTCGTGCCCAGTGCACGACTGAAGTACCCCTTTCGCTTCTATTACAAGGAGGTTGGTAATAATAGGAATCAGACAGAGTTGTTGATTTGATTCAACTGGTTGACATGAATAGAGCTCCTGGGTGCACCTGGCACATAGCAGATGCTCCTGGACGATAGTCGTCCTTCTCTCTTCCCAGAGTCCCAGCCAGGCATGTGGCTTCCTCCAAACGCCATCCTGTCCTTCTGGCCTATGTGACAGCAAGTGCACTGCGGGCCGGCTCCCTGCTGGACTGCGAGCAGCATGGGATCGGGAACGCTGCCTCATTCATCTTCGCATTTACCGTTAGTGTTTTCAAGGGGCCTGGTATTTAACGGGCAATGATGAATGTTTTCAGAATAGCTGAACGGATGAATGAATGAATGAATGAATGAACGGACAAATGATCGACACACAGCGATGCCAATTCGTGGAGAACTGAGGACCCCCCACAGGCTCATACCCGGTCACCTGTTGACTTTGCGCCTGTCTTTCCCCAGAGCAGGCTGGGGTGGGCTGTGCCGAGAGCCATCCCATCTTCACGAAGATGCACTCCTGGACCACCCTCTGCTTCCTCAATGGAAGCTCCCAGTGGCCACCAAAGTGCTGTGCGCTTCGGAGGGTGGAGGGGAGGCAGGAGATGGACACTTAGCCCTGTGAGCCCTGGAAGAAAGCCCTTTTCGCCTCTGCCCCTAGAGTCTCACTACATTGTCCACCAAAAAAAAAAAAAAGAAAAGAAAAGAAAAAGAAAGGAAAGGAAAGGAAAAAGAGAAAAAATGTGGAGGATGGAGAAATGTGTCATTCAATAAATGTTTATTTGTCAGCACTGAATACCAATCCTCACTCCACAATACTTGAAGAACACATTGTTCTCTGCAGCAGATCGGCGGTTAAAATACCTTAGGATGAATATAAACGTTCAAAGTTGCCCTTCTGTGATTCTTTTCCTCAAAAAAAAATTGCATATTTTTCTTGAAGAGAATAGAAAAGTACCACTCTAGCTGAAATAAGTGCATGTTAAAGTAAGCGTAATGTTACATGCTGCTGTGTACTGCATTTACTGGAATACGAGAAAAGCTCATAGCATTTCATTGTGTTCTACCTGCAGTTTTTATAGATGACATTCACAGAAGCTAATCACCTCGACTCTCTTTATAACAGTTTGGAATCGCTGAAGGGGAGCGAATGTTCACCAGAGGAAATGAAATATTTGAAAATATTTATCTTATTTAGGAGACGTAGAATATTTAGGTTGACTTTCGAAAGCGCAATAAAGCTTGTACTTTATCTCTCATGCGAACAAGCAGGCGACAATGAGTGTTTTCTGTCTTAAACTGACCGCCGGTTTCTGGCCTTCTAATATTATTTCTGCTTCCCTACTTTAAAATCAAAATGGAAAAATAATATCCTTGTGAAAATTACTTTGCCTTCCTTACAGGCTTAGAACTGAACAAATAATATAAAAACATGCTCTGACCTCAGAAGCTTTGATTTTTTTAATATGTACTTCTAGAATCTGTATTTTAACTTGTCGGGAGCAGCCCTCTAATTGGCCCCGCTACCAATCAGTGACGATTTCGAGCGTTGCCCGGATGTCGCCTTCGATACTAGAAACGTCTCTCTCTCCCTCGCCCTGTTCCAGGAGCGGCTCCTGCTCTCCCTGCTGCCGGCCCACATAGCCATGGAAATGAAAGCTGAGATCATCCAGAGGCTGCAGGGCCCCAAAGCCGGCCACATGGAAAACACGAACAACTTCCACAACCTGTACGTCAAGCGACACACCAACGTCAGGTACGCTGCTCCGTTCTTGAACCTCAGCAAGTCTGGACTGGGGACATTTTAAGTGGGAGCCCGCGTCCGATAATGCTGTGTCTCCCTTGTCACTGGTGACCCCTTGCACGTAGAGTATCGACCTCTCCACCCACCCAGGTGCTGCCTTTTGGGGCCTTCATGTTAAGATGACAAAATAGGGTCCGCTGCTTTGGGGACTGAGTCATCCCTCCTGGCCCTGCTCTCCATGGCTGACTGTCAGTCACAAAAGGGAGAGAAATGGACAGCGGGGTCCTGATTCCGGGGACTCCATGGTCTGGGCTCCTGGTGTCCCCGGAGCCCAGGACACTCAGCGTTGCAGTGAGATCAGGGCCAGGGCCAGTGAGCTCTCAGCACAAGGACGATTCCTCCTGACGGGCTTGGCTGGCAGGCCCCAGGAGCTGGCAGTTTCCAGGGAAGCAGGATCACCTGCTGTCCATCAGGAATGAAGGGTGTCTGGGGTAAGGCCAACTAGTGAGTAACGGCGCAGGGGACTGACATGCCCCTGGGTCCGCGTACAGTGAAAGGGATTGCTGTCTGAGCCTGGCCCAGTCACGTCTCCTCCCCGGTGGGCCACTCCTGAGGTGACAGTATGGAGAACGGACGTGGCATCTCCTGGGATTGTGACCAGGAAAGAGGATGTCGAGGCCCCTTGTTCCCGTGCATGTGTCCTGATGTGAATTCTTTAGGTGTCGGGGTCCCCACCCCCTGCTCAATAGTTCAAGGACGACAACCACAAACACCTAAAATGTGTTTAGCATCGACTAGAGATGGAACCGGCCCGTCTGCCCCCAAGTCCAGACTCTTTCCAATGCATAATGCTGCCTTCTGGTCTGGGTGCTTCAGGTCAATGATTTTTGAAGTTCATTAAGAAGAAACAAATTTAATTGCAACATAAATCCATTGCTAAGACAAGTATCATTTTGACACCAGGTTTTAGAAAAGGTGGTCAGAGCTACTGGCAGACATTGTCCGAGCACTCAGAGACCGAATGTAAAATACTAAATGCCAACTCAGAAGGAGATATTAGAAAAAAGTTGTATATTGAATGGTGCTATAGAAGTACCATTGGCTAAGTGAAGAATCGGGAGTAAAATTTAAAAAATAAGTTTTGCTATTTGGTGGGACAGATAAAAATTAAAAAACATTCATGCAGGTTTTAAAGTGTTTTCCTGTATTTTTCCCTAAAGAAAAAACATTCACAGTATCTGACAAAGTGTATGATACTAGAAATGGCCCTTTCTAGCCTTACGTGTCTGACAATACTCCTCCCATATCAGGAAGGGTTTTTAAGTCACTTATTGCGTATGCAAAACACATGTAGATAAATGCAGCTATATCTAATTAGGGTCACAGAATAGCTGTTAGTAGCTGTGGCACATTGCAGGAACAAATAGACCTACAAAAATGACGAGACACCACCAACTTCAGACTTCCCGTGCTATTAGTTACCAGTGTTTGTACAACAGATCACCCTAAAATGTAGTGGCTTAAAATGATAAACGTTTTCTTACAGTTTCTGTGGGTCAGAATCCGGGAGCAGCTTAGCCGGTTAGTCCTTAGTCAGTCATCTCTGCAGCATCTTGTTGGTTACACAGGTCAGGAGGGGACATCCTTTGAGGGAGGGGACAGCCCAGGGTGTGAGCAACAGGAGAGGAGGGCCCTGGGGCCACCTTGGCAGCTGACTGTCACAGTATCTCAGGCAAGGGACTGGTGAAGCAGCTTCAACCACCGTAACTTCCCTCGCCAATTGTCTAGAGTATGTTTGCAGTATTGAATTAAATTTAAATTCATGAAATATATTTGGAATCCTAAAGTAACTTAAATACTTAAAACTTAGAAATGTAAAACCTTAAACAGCATGGGGTACCAATTATATTTATTTGTTTGTTTGTTTATTTATTATTGATTATCAATTATTTTTAAAAGAAATATGAAAAGGTGGCTTTTTCATCCTGGAACAGGACAGGTATAAGCAAAGAAGCAGCCATGATGCACAGGTAACACAGATAGTCTAGTCAATTCCTCAGGGTTTCTGAGAATTATTAGTTTTGTAGATGGTGCCAAAAAGATCAGTGGCTAACTTTTAGTTCTGCTTTGATCAGTCATTCAATGAAATGCTTATTGTCTACTAATAATATTTACTATCGCTTTACTATTTAATGATGATGATGATAATGATGATGATGATGATGCTAACAATAATAATAATAAGGAAGAGGAGGAGAGATCAGGGAGGAAAAGATGGATTTATGGACCATAGATTTGGCTTCCCAAATCTTCATGGTCTTCCACTGACTTCTTCCCACTAGAGCCGAAACATTTGCAAACCCATCACATGTTTGAAAACGAAGACGCTTCTCTTAACCCAATGCCACCATCCGAATCTGAAACGACCTTCCTCTCTTTTGGAGCCCAGACATTCCAGAGACCGTTCCACACTCTCTGACTCATCTTCCTTATTTTCTGTTTTCCCTCGCGTCCCCATTCTCTAGCTGTCACCTCCCCCCTCAAGTCACAGAACTCATTCTCGCTAAATTCACCACCACCTGTCTTGTTCCCAAATCTGTGTATGACTTACTTCTGCATCCTCGTCTCAATGGTTGCCGAGGTGCGCTTGGCCTGTCAACCTTGACCTTGTACTTACAGATTTCCCCCACCCCTCGGTCTTCTCTTGTGTTCTTCTTACAGGCCCCCGAGTTTTCTCTTCCCTGAGTCTAGCCTCTCCTGTAGATGAGTGTGTCGAGGGCTGTCTCCTTGCTCCTCTCTGCTCTCTGCAGCTTCCTCCCAGGATGTAATTACCATCCACGTGGTGCTGAGACACAGAACTCAACCAGCGTTTCCCATTCTCGCCTGCCTCATGGGCACCTTCCTCTGAGGTGTTCCGCAGACGCCGCCATTAGACTCAGCACCACCAGACTTGAATGAGTCGTCCTCCCTCAGAAGGTGGTTTTGGTTGGCCTCACTAGCAGGTACTTCCCACGAAGGGAAGCTGCGCTGTCATTTTCTAAAAGTAACTCTCCTGGACTCCTCCTCCTCATCTGATCAGCCCCTGCCACCCACACCGTTCTCTGCCGCTTTCCTTTGTAGCACTTACTGTCATTGTAATCGGACCTTGTTTGGTGCCCTCGTTTGTTTACCCCATCACCCCAACTAAACTCTGAGCTTTAGGAAGATGGGCCTGGTCTGCTTTATCCTGGCAGGTAGGAAGGAATTCAGAACCTTTTCTTTTAAGTAGTCTGCTTTTAAAGAGATGATTATTCCAACTTTTTCTTGAATCAATAAAAACGGGATTTGGCTTCTATTGTTTTGCTTCTCCAACTTTAGGAATTCTTATAATACAAACCCATGCAACACTTCAAACAGAAGTGTTGATTACGATGGTGTAATGGGCTGTCAGGATGATTCTCACGTAAACTAGAGAGGGAGCGGGTATCTGGCCCCGAGAGGGAAGGTGACCTGTAAGAATGGGCTCGAACGGAAAAAGCTCATCATGTGACTTTCTCTTCTCCCACTTTAATAAAAATTCAGCATCAAAAGAATTTGAATTGGAAAGTTTAGCAGAGGGTTTTGTGTATTCCCTATCCGGGGAAATCACATTTTTACTATAAAATAGAAATATGAAATATAAAAAAATTATACTGTATTAATGGAAAAAACCATCATTACTTTTTAATGACTATAAACATGCAAATACCGTCCCTCTTTGTTCATTCCCACAGTATCCTGTATGCTGACATTGTGGGGTTCACCCGGCTGGCCAGTGACTGCTCCCCAGGAGAGCTGGTCCACATGCTGAATGAACTCTTTGGGAAATTCGATCAAATTGCAAAGGTGAGTATTAATGATTCCCTTCGATTCTGAAGATATATAAAATTCTGACTTACTTTTTCTCTGGTCCCTTATCAACCTTTTACCATTCCATGAAACACATCTTGTAGGAATGGCGTCTGTCAGCTTGCTGGAGTGTTTGCCATTCATCCCCGATAAGTCTCGATCTTAAATCAGAGATGAGAAATGCCAGAGCACGTAACTAGCATGTTTTCATCTGTTTTTAAAACTTCTTTTTGTGTGTAATTTAGCACGCATGGAATAAGGTGAGGGATTTAATTTGCACACGTCTCTGCTGTTCTGAGGTCCTCTTTTGAGGCGTTTCATGGTCGAGAAGTTGGGAACACGATTTCTTCATTCTGGTTGAAACTACCCTGTATTCGCATCCTTCAGCAGCATCCTGGAAGAGCCCCCCCATGGGATGCATACCTTCTCCTTAGGCTCTTTATTTATTATTGTCTCATGTTTAGCCCTTGACCCTTGTGCCACTTGAGCAGAAATGAAGTTTTGTATTTGCCATTCATATGCTCATTTATGGGAAGCTTCACAGAGAGGAAATGACAAGTGATCTAAAAGCACATTAACCTTTCTCACTTATTGAAACGGTTAGGGTTTCTAGTGGGAATATTGAAAAAAAAAAAAGTTTTTCTTCCTTGCTAGCCCTCGACTTCTCATAAAACATTTCCAGTCAGCTTAATTCTTGCTTTGAGTCGTTCCCAACAAAAAATACTTATTATTATGCTTATTAAAGTGTGTTATTTATATATGGAAGGGTTGGTCCCAAACTCACTCCACTAAAAGATTCGTCTCACTTTTAAACAATACAGAACGTTCTAGCTGAGCCTCTCAGGAATAAATCTGGCTCGCGGATGTTTTCCGAGGCACTCTCGGGCTAAGTTCCTCCCCAAATGACTGGCCCTGACAGCTCTCACTGGGCCTCTGGGGAATCAGTAAGAGTATAGGTCTCCTTCCTCCCTTTACCAAACTAAAGGAGAAGGTTGCATTTTCCGGATGCTCAATTTTAGAAAAAGAATGATTGAAACATAATGTCTTGAAAATTTGAGTTAAAAACAAGTCATTTTTGTTGGACCTCCTGGTCACGTTAGGAAGAAACAGCCCGGTCCTGGCAGATAACCACACATGGCATTCTCCCTGTATGCGAGTCTCAGTGTCCAAATTTCCTCCTTCTATAAGGACACCGGCCATATTGGATTAGGGGCCCACCCTGATCCCGCTGACCTCATCTTAACTAATTACACCTGCACCAACCCTGTTGTCAGATAAGGTCACATTCACAGGTACCAGGGGTCAGGACTTCAGCATATGAATCTGGGGAGGGCGCAGTTCATTACCCATAACAGAGGTACTCAGTGTGACTCCTGCTCTTCTCTGGTCATTGTCACAAAGGAATGTCCGGCCCAGGGTTGTCGGTCACAGAGGCAGCCGCTCTGGGCATCAGTTCATGCCTCACAGTTATGCAACATGGCGTTGGAGAGCATCGCAAGCACGTGGACAGCTCAGTCCGCTGAGCGAACACGGTGTAAAGCACACAACTTTATGCTGAGGGACGGGAAATCATCGTCCATTGACTGTTTTTTTTTTTTTTTGGAAATCTTTGAACCACTTCATTGAGATATAATGACATACAGAAAATTATATTTAATGTCTACAGCTTAATGAGTTTGGAAGTAAGTATGTACTTTTGAAACCATCACCACAATCTATGTCATAAGCATATCCATCACCTGTAAAAGCTCCCTCTGGCCCATTTATTTATTTATTTGTTTGTTTGTTTGTTTATTTATATATTTATTATTTTATTACTTTATGATTAAAGCACTTAACATAAGATCTCCTTTCTTAGCAAGTTTTTAAGTATTGAATCCAGCGTCGTTCACCACACACCGTGTGTTGTACAGTAGAGCGCTGGGACGTTGTCACCTCGCATAACTGAAACTTTGTCCCCTTTGACCAACATCTCCCCATTTCTCCCACGGCCCCGCCCAGACCCTGGTACCCATTCTACTCTCTTCTTCTGTGAGTTTGGCTATTTTAGATTCCTCATATAAGTGTTATCATGTAGCATTTGTCCTTCTGTGTATGCTTATTTCACTTAGCAGATGGAGTTTGACAGCACATTTTAAAAAAAATGTATACCACAACCAAGTGAGATTTACCCCTGGGCTACAAGGCTGGTTCAACACCTGCAGATCAAGGTGTCTACCACATTTAACGGAGTGAAGGCTAAAAATCACATAATCATCTCAACAGATGCAGAAAAAGATTGGACAAAATTAATCACCCTTTCATGATAAAAACGCCCAACTAATAAGATACAGAAGAAACTTACCTCAATACAATTAAGCCATTGCTAATGTTATTCTCGAACGTGAAAAACGGGAAGCGTTTTCCCTGAGAGGGGAGCAAGGCGAGGATGCGCGCTCTCACCACTTGTGTTCAACGTAGTACCGGAAGTCGCTGGCAGAAGACAGGCAAGAAAAAGAAATAGAAGGAATCAAAATCGGCACGGAAGAAGGAAAATTACCTGTTTGCTGTTGATGTGACTTTATATGTAGAAAACCCTAAAGAAGCCACAAAAACCTGTTATAACAAAGAAATGAATGTGGTAAAGTTTCAGGATACAAAATCAATGTACACAAATTAATTGTATTTCTGTACACTAACAATGAAGTATCTAAAAGGGAAATCAAGAAAACAATCCCATTTGCATTAGCATCAGAAAGAATAAAATGCTTAGGCACGAACTTAACCAAATAGGTGAATGACATGTATACTGAAAACCATAAAACATTGATCAAAGAAATCTAAAAAGACACAAATAAGTAGAAAGACACCCCATGTTCATGGGTTGGAAGAAGTCGCCATGTTCAAATGTCCATATCACCCAAAGCCATCTACAGATGCAATGCAATCCTTATCAAAATTCCAGTGGCCTTTTTTTTTTTTTTATAGAAGTAAGAAAAACAATTCTAATAAGTAGGAAAAACAATTCTAATATTTATAAATAAATGTAAATGACCTCAAATTGTCAAAGGAATTTTGAGCAACTAAAACAGAGATGGCAGCACACTTCCTCATTTCAAAATATATTACAAAGCTACAGCAATTGAAACAGGATGATACTGGCATAAAAACAGACACACAGACCAATGGAACAGAATAGAGAATCCAGAACATGCGGTCAACTAATCTACGATAACGGTGCCAAGAATTCACTATTAATATTGCTGTTGTCTAGATTCTAGATTTAGAATGTCTATCGAGGAATTCTGAGAGGGAAGCCCTATCAAAAAGTGCCTGATAGACTTTTTATTACCAATGATACAGTTATCAGGAATTACTAGCACATAGTCTATAGTGCCGTAGATAAACAAGAATGCATGCACGCTCTTGATCAGAGAAGGAAAGAAATATGCAAGATTTTCTGTAAACCTAACACATGCTTAAGAGCAAAAAAATCTTGTGTTCGGAGTTGCTCAGTTTATACATAAGCCTGTGTTAGTGTGTTAAGAAAGAAAGATCTGTGTTTGGTATTTCTTTGGTTCCTTTTTTTACATTAGTGTCGAGTCTATAAGCTAGTTGGAAAGGTAAGAAATGGATGTAGGATTGATGCATATGAAGTTAATCTCCATATTATAAATACAACCCAGCCAAGGAAAATAATGAGTTAGTCTAACTTTATATCAACATAATTTAACCTAAGATCAGAATGTTTTCAATTACTTGGCAATAATGGTGCTTTATATTGTGGAGATGCTTATCAGAAGCTACAAGTCTGCGGGTAAGAATCTTTAAATGAAGAAAATCATGAGCATAGTAAGGAATGACATAAGACACTAATTTCAACTGAGTTTGGGGCATCATTTTCTGCCCCAGAAGATTCTGCTCTACATTGAATGTTTCGTGTCATCTTCGATGTTTGGGAATGTTTGGACTAAAAAAAAAAAAAATGATCCTATCTCTATACTTCTCTGCTGATATGAAGTATAATTCTGCTTCCCATCCTCCCCCTTTCCCTTATTCTGCTTTGGCAAACGTGGGGGAGGCTTGCTCATTCCTGTCGAGTAGTGAAGGAAACCCCAACTAGTTGTCACTTCTCTCCCCGCAAGCCCTGTTCCTGTTCAGTAGAACTAGCACTGAAGATATCCCATCAATTTAAATCATTGTGTCAGTGCCAGTGCCCAATGTACCTGAATTCTGTGATGTCTTCTTCCAGGAGAATGAATGCATGAGAATAAAAATCTTAGGAGACTGCTATTACTGCGTGTCTGGACTCCCAATCTCCCTCCCTAACCACGCCAAGAACTGTGTGAAAATGGGGCTGGATATGTGTGAAGCCATAAAGTAAGTGTAATGCTGAGTAAGATCTTCTTTAGCTGGTCACAACTTAGAGTTATGATTCTCACTTGCAGCTACTCCTATTTCTCTGTCTACTGACATTAAATACATTATTGCACATTTAGATATAAGTGTGCAGAGTGCCATTTGTTGGCATGTGAGTAACTCCATCCAAAGTAAGATTTCTAAGTGTTTTGTATTATTATTATTAGCCTTAGGTTTTGGGTTTTTTTGTTTGTTTGTTTGTTTGTTTTGCAGGACTGAGTTAAAAAATCTATGGAAAAGGACAGGGTTTTTTTTTTTCAAAAGTGATTTTTAAAAACGTAAATGTCTTCTCTGGTCTTAAGGAAAAAGTCTGCATTCTTAGCATCGCTCATGATTTCTATGATTTCTGACAAATAATACGACTATACACAAATAATAAAAAAAAAAGAGTAATTTTTACCACCAGGCAGCAATTTATATAAAAATCTAGTCTAAAATTACTTCATCTAGTCAAAAATGTTCAGCTCTGTGAAGCAGGTTTCAGTTTATATCCATAGTATAAGTTTCCTGTATTGTAGCTGGAGTTTCTTTCATCGTAATTGTAGAGGTTTGCTTATGTAAAACAATGTCATCACTACAGTTGACAAGGACGGGGTGAAAGTATCAGGTTCAAAGTTAATTTTTATTGCCAGCACCGTGATGAATTCTTCCTTAGGAATGCCCTTTGCAGAAGCCAGAACATTCTTATAAATGATAATACTGCTTCTTTGTCGATTATACGATTGAAAGATTTTAGTTTATGGGATATTTTGATTGTCTATTTTAGTCAACTGATTTTACCCTATCCTCTGCATATTTTTTGTCTAAAGAAGATAGGAATTAAATAGTAGATGTTCTATTTCCTTGTCTGAGGGTTAGAGTAGGTGGGGCTTTAAGTGAGAAAGCAACAAGTCAAACTGTGTTTAACTCATTGTGTATGTTCGTCATGTGCTAAAAATAGACTAGAAGGTGGTGTCCAGGGAAGAAAAACGAAGCGCCCACAGCCTCAGCTGAGCCCAGGAGACCTAAGTGTTTCAGAATCTCTAGCTCAGTAGCAATTGCCACAGGCCACTGCACAGCTCAGGGAATGGGAGACAAATGAATGAAATGAAATCAAAGATTCAAGATGATGGGGGAGGGGATCAGTGTGGCCTCAGCTTCCCACACGAGACACATCGTGTGGGAAATAACCATGTCCTACTTGCTTCTTCACATAAATAAATCATTGGCCTTCTCTGATACATGAGAAATATTGTTTGCTTATTTCAAAAGTAATTAACTATTCCCAACACTGTGGATCTATATGTAAATGAATCTTATTAGTGGAACTAATAGGTTTTCTTAAATTTATAACCCACCCCTGGATGCAAGTTCGGTGTCGGTTCCAAAGTTGGGGTGAAATGGATTCTATTGGGGAAAATCATTTTCTCTTGATTTCCTTTTCGAATAAATGTGGGAAAGATTTTACAAAGGACAAATTTACTTATTTTGTGTGTCAATAACATATTGGATTAAATAATCCACCTTTGACAGTAGCTCGATTTCTGCTTTTGAATCAACTATTTTCCAATTCTGTTATGTGTACATTATTCCAACATGTTGAAGAGCTTCTAGGAAAAAGAATCCTTAATTTTGATCTAGTGTGCCACCAGTTGTCAGTAATATTTTTTCTGTTACTGGTGGCTAGTGTGCCACCAGTTGTCAGTAATATTTTTTCTGTTACATTTTTTATTGTGATAAAATATACATAACATAAATATTGCCCTTTCAATCATTAGGATTTGGGGTTTTTTTTTTTTGATGACACCTTATGCATTATTAAAGCTTTTTAAAGATTTCTTTATTTTTTTTATCAAAGAGTATGCACAATTGAAAACCTTTAATGTCATGGTTATTTTTTGAAAATTCCTATTCAGTTTAAAGTCATTATTAAGCTCACAAATAAGCTATATCTTATCAGCAGAAAACATCCATTGGGGACATACACTGTGCTAAGCGCTGGAATTGCAGGTGGCATCTGAGACCCTTTATGACAATACAAGGCAGCATCCCGTGATTTTAGTAAGAAAATTCAGAGCAGGTGTCAGCACGACAGGTGCTTGATACACATCGATTGGAAAAGTAAAAGCTACAGCCAAAATGCTGCCTCGTCACCATGGTCAGGTCTGATGTGGCTTTACTAACCAGAGCATTGGAGCCCAGGGCCAGTCTGGGAGCAACTGGAAAGGAAAACCTTGCTCTTGGCTCAAGGCAGTCACCTTCTGCGACAGGACGATTGTGATAATATTTCCAACAGTCTGAGAGATTCTGAACAAAAAAACACCCTGAAAAGAGGTAAAGGAGGAAGAGGCCGTTTCCAGATGGCGATGTAACTTTTTTTGTCTTTAGGAAAGTGAGAGATGCTACAGGAGTCGACATCAACATGCGCGTGGGGGTGCATTCCGGGAATGTCCTCTGCGGCGTGATTGGTCTGCAGAAGTGGCAGTACGATGTGTGGTCCCATGACGTCACCTTGGCCAATCACATGGAAGCCGGAGGGGTTCCCGGGTAAGGACACTGGGTTACTACCTTTAAGTTGGCTACGGGATTAGAGATGACAGTTTGGCGGCTTAATAACCGACTGCTCGGTGTCAGATGACTTCTGTTGCCTCTGCTAGTAGCATGTCTCTTATGCCCAATGACAGCTTACATTTCTCAGATAAACATGACCTGTCGAGTCTCAGTCCCATCCCCCTTGAGACCCATGGTCGAAGACTGAATATCGGATCCTAAATTACAGACTTTTACTTATTTGCAAAGTTACGAGCAGAAGCGCGAGTCAAAAGTGTTTTATACTGTGCTGAAGATACTTCTCTCAATAATAATTAGAGCATTTCTCTTATTATTGGTGACCTCTGAAACCAGTACTATGAAAATGAGCAAATTGGGGCATCCATCTCTGGTTAGAAGAGCATAGTTTAGACGAGAGAATTTGGGGGCAAGTGCTATAATTTGGAGAATCATGAGAGCAAACTCTGAGAAAGAAAACCCATACTTTCATACAGACCAGCACCCTTCCCAAAATGCCTTTGGCGTGCATTTCAAAAAATATCCTGACACGCCCAAATTTGATATAATCAATCCGTATTCGCTATTTTTCTCTAAGCCTGGTCGGGTTTTTACGAGTACCGAGAAGCTTCAAATAAAAGTAGCTCATGACCTCTGGAGGCGTCTTTCTAAAGCACGAGTTAATAGAATACAAACCTTAATCACCATTCATTTTATCAAGAACGTAGAGCCTTTCCCTCATTTGGGGGGAGAAGAGTTATTTCTGAAATCACAAATAAACAGGAAATCGACCTTCATAGATACCTTTATACATCTTACTCGTCGTTTTCGAATGGAATTTCAGACGCGTCCACATTTCCTCTGTCACCCTGGAGCACTTGAACGGGGCTTATAAGGTGGAAGAAGGGGACGGCGACATCAGGGACCCGTACTTAAAGCAGCACCTGGTGAAGACCTACTTCGTGATCAACCCCAAGGTCAGTATTGTAGCGAACCTGTCATTAGCCTACGACTTCTGTGATTAAAGGGCAGAGTCAAATTACTGTATAGATGTTTTTAGTTAAGAATCAGCGTCATTCTTTGCTAATCTTTGCCTCTAGAATCCCTTTAATCCATGTAGCATTTTAATTATGGAACGTCTTCTATAATAATGAATTTAAATTTATTAAAGAAACCATTAAAATGATCGCTCTGTATAACAAGGTGGCGTATGTCAGTCAACGCATGTGTTAGTTCATGGGCCCAGCCTGGCAGTTGGGAAATTAAATAAAGAGAAAATATTTTGCTTAGGATTTCAGATGATAAAAACTTAATAATAAGGTGAAATAGGATGAACATACAAGAAAAAGGAAAAGGAGACATTTCGAAAAGAGTAACAGCTAAATATCTCACGTGCCTTTGCACGAGGCCTCGTGTGTGCGGACCTGTGTCTAACGTCCATGCAGCAGAGACCTCTGTGACCTGGGAGACTGTCCCCCGTCCCCAGTGAGGGGCTGACTCCTCCTGTCCACACCGCGGGGCAGCAGAGCCAGGCCCTTAGCGTTCTCATCCCTCTTGGCCTTTCTCAAATTCCTGCCAAACGAGCATGATTGCTAATTACAGATCAGGACACCAAAGCTCTGAGGGGTTACATAACTTCTCCCAATCATATGGCCGGTGGACCGTGCAAATGTGGGCAGGAAACGGGTCCCCCAGAACTGTCCAAACCGATACCTCAAAATCAACAGGACCAAGCGTGTGGCCTCAGGGCGGCCTCCCCAAAACCCCAGGTTCGACGCTGGAAACGAACGTCCAGCTCGCTTGACAATTAATCCGCAGACAGATAGGTGACAAGAAGGAAAAACCGTGGGGTGACAGGGACATGCTGTGGGGAAAAGGAAAAATAAGTAAGTGAGTAGGAAGAACATGGCGTTCAGGTGGTTTAGCCTCAGAAAGCAGCTCCAGTCACTACTCCCGTCACTGCAGAGAAACACGAGCACCGAAGAAAGTTAAAACAGATCAACATGTATGTTTAGAATTTACTTTATAAAACTTCGCATTAAAATGGCTATTTTTTCCAGACTTTTGCTGTCTGGAAAAAAATCGCTCGGCTTATAGCACTGGGGGATGCGGTGGGAGCCATAGAGAGCCAGGGGGTGATGCTGGAGGAATCCGCTGGGTCCAGAGAAGCCTCTGGAAGGGGCGGAGCGGGGAGGAGCAGCCGTGCACCTGCGGCACGCAGAGGTAACGCTTTGTTTCCTGCCCCAAGGGAGAACGACGGAGTCCCCAGCACCTCTTCAGACCTCGCCACGCCCTCGATGGAGCCAAGATGAGGGCGTCCGTGCGCATGACCCGGTACCTGGAGTCGTGGGGGGCGGCCAAGCCCTTTGCGCACCTGCACCACAGAGACAGCATGACCACGGAGAACGGCAAGATCAGCACCATGGTGCGCTGCGCGGGGGGCCCCGCGGCACCTGCGGCCGGCCGGAAGCCGGCTCCCCACACCCGAGCGTCGCCTGCCCAAATAACGCCCGTCCGTAGGGCAGCAAGCTTACCCCTCGCTCCTCGCGGTGGCCCCTTACTCACGGCCACCTGGGCCTGGGCCGTCGCCAGCCCCGCACTGCCGGAGGTTTTAACCTAGCGGGCCGGGCGTTGTAACTTTCTAACTCACGACTGTCAATTACAGCTGACAGTAGCAGCTGCATTCACCTGAGCTGTTGTCAGCTGAGGTTTGATTTTGCTTTTTCTATCATGAAGTAGGGATCGATGAAGGCCTGGTGTCCTTGGAGTTGTCCCAGCCTCGCTAAGACCCTCTCCATCACCCAGACGTCCGGCCGCAGGGGCAGCCACCTACCTTCTGCTGTCGCGGTTCCTTATTCATGTCACCCCACCTTCCAATGGGGCATAAAGTCCCAAAGCTCCCTTCAACGGGGACGTTTTTGATAACATGGCTAAAATGCAGAGAGAAAGTTCAACGCCCCATAGGAGGAGAGAAAAGTAAATATAATTCAGCACTTAGAATCATCCCAATGGCATTGTTGGATTGTAGCACAATTTCTGAGTAAAATTTCACGTGGAACGCATTAACTGCGTTAGGAATAGAGTTGAGGCGAAAAAGGAAAATGAACTGTTACGTAATTCTCATTGGCCGATAAGAAGGAACATACCAGGTTTTCAGGTAAAAGAGAGCAATTTCAGTCTTCCTGTGTCCCAAAGCTCCCGGCATGTCGCCGTGATACGCCCCAGCCCGACAGGTGCGGCTCTGCATTCCTGTTCGGCTTCCTTATGTCTCTCCTGTCGACTTCTCTTGTTCTTTTCTCAACTGAAAACTAAATGTGACTTGACAGGAGACCATGACCCATCAGGCAGCGAGGGGGAGCGGGCCGCGTCCTAGAGGGGTGTGTCTTCTGTGGGGGACAGAGGGGACGTAAGTAGGACATAAACAAAGGAACGGGAGCGTTTGAGGTGCTGCCGAGGACCACGACGAAGGTCAAGCGGCGTGATATCTCTGGGAGTGAATGATGCGGCCGCTCTGAGTAGGGCAGTGGAGGGGGGGGAGGTCGGGGTCTCAGAGAGGAAGAGAAGAAAGTTGGAAAAGGAAGCGGCGGAACAATGAATTTGGTGGTTCTAAGGTGCAGGTGGGTGTGGCAGAGAGGAGGGTGCTGGTGTGGCCGTAGTGTCTCCAACAGTGAGCGAAGGGAAGTCATCGAGGTGCGGCACAGTAAGGTAACTGTGTTTAATTCAGTCCAGGTGTAGTGGGACGTCATTAGATGGTCTTAGGCAAGGCGAGGGCAGGGGATAATTAAGAGCCTGGAACAGAGAAGCACGAGGGGTGGAGTCCAAGTGCGAATGGTGCACACTCATGCCAAGATCTTAGCGAGAAGCACGTTCAGGGTCTAATTTGAATGTAGAGCGATTGGGACTTGGTGACAGAATGGGTACGTGTGAGTACGAGGATCAAGAGGAATCCACACTTTTTTCGGCTGCACAGCTGAAGGAGCGCCGATGCCATTAACTGCGATGACAAACCCAGGGGGGGATTTGTAGATGGAAAAGTCAAGACTTTGCTAATGGGCATCTTTAAATCAATACGCCTTTTAGACACCTGAGTGCAGCTAGGAAGTTGGCGGCTGGGTGCGCAGCCCTGGCACTCGGGGAAGAGGCCGAGCCGGAGGTGCGGACGCGAGAGTGGTCAGGTCGTAGGTGATGCTGGAAGCCACGGAGCAGGATGGAATTAATCAAGAGGAGAAGAGCTCGCAGGAGGGGCCCTTGGGCACCGGGGGCCTTCCAGAACGCAGGGCTGTTAGGGGAAAGGCTTCGCAGGATGCTAGGGTTCGGTTGTCAGTGAAAGTCGATGCTTCTATCACTCTTATGAAAAAATAATAATTTGGATAAGTTTGTCTCAACACTGCATTAATTATTAACGCTAATAGCTAATAAGCATATTTCTCACTGAGATTTGTTGTAAACCAGCAGTTGGATGGTGGGATGATTGGTTTTCAAGAAATAAGAATCATATATAAATACTAGAACGTGATTTTCTGTGCTGTTTCTTATGTATACCCGTGAAAAAGGTGTTTTCAGGTGTGTCATTGATGTTGTTCTGGTTATTTCTCATCGGCCTTTGTCGTCCCAAGCACCTAGCAGTCCCCCTTATTATCTCGACAGGGGCCACAGGAAGGATTTCGGGTTGGCCGTAACCGTTGTCATGTTAGTGAAGGTGCCCCCTTCATGACAGTTGCACCTGTCTAGCACTTGGAGTTTGTGAAAGGCAGAGGACCTCTGAGAACAAACTCAATTGTCTTACCTGGCTGGCCTCACCGGTCACAGGTGCAGAATGTAAGGACCGCCTCAGCAGCAAGACAGGAAGGATATCTTAAGAAAATCCCAAGGGTTTGAGTAACACCTGGAGCCCCTAAGATGTGACATAGCCATGCCCCTCGCTGTCAGAAAGAACCCATCGTCATTCTTCATAATGCATTCCAGGGTCGAACAGTTGTCATTGCCAGAAGTGATCTATTTTATCTAATTCTCTCTCAGAGCTCCATTGGCTCTTGATTCAACATTGATAGAGCTGGCGAATCATGCATTATTTTATTTTATGTAATAAAACTTGGAGTTCAGTTATTCCTTTAAAAAAAAAAAATGCCTTGCCTTTCCCTAGGCTAGCCATATTTTCTAATCTTAAGCCTGGAGATAAAGCAGCAAAGAAAAGTTTCTTTGCAACCACTTTGTTCCAATTTTTAATTTTCACTAATAATGTAGAAAAGGGGATCTTGAGACTTTTTGGTCTGTGGTTGAACATTTGGCAGTGAGTCCCCCACTGCAAACCCTGACCAGTGTGTCCTTCTCATTTCACGAACTCCCAGCACTCATGTATTGATTTCTTCTTTCTGATCAATGATTCACGATTTCGCATACTTAACCAATGGTACCATTTTTTAACAGCCCAGTGCAGTGAAAAGGATCGACTGTCGATTTTGTGCATATGATCATATTTTAAAGCACTTTTTAAATATTTGTCCGATGCCAAACTACATTTTCACATGATCGTAAGCTGTCTACAATAACTCTAATAAATGATTTTCTGCAGGCCGTTGTTTGAAATCGTAGCTTTGAATATCAGGATGTATTTTAAAAGTACAGACAACCATCCTGGTCCTCCCAGCATCCAGAGTTTATAGATGACACCAACATTCTAACTATAAACTGAATTTTTAATCTTTTTACATTTATAATTAAGCTATTTTCTCCGCGTGGGTAATTATTTGTTACCTAATGATACTTTTCATGATAAAAGAAGACATATGTTATAGTTATCATTGCAACATGATTTTCAAAGTATGTATTTGGCAACTAATATCCTCTTTTTGTTTTTAATAGGATGTACCAATGGGTCAGCATAACTTTCAAAATCGCACCTTAAGGTATGGTATATGTTCTACTTTCTAATTTTTAAAGGCTTATTTTCCATTTATTTCTGAAAGCAATTATCGCCAATTATAGTTATTTTGAAGGCTACTTCTTCTAAAAGAGCAGCTACTTGTGAAAAGCCCTATTAAATTGCTCTCAGCTTCTAAAAATAGGATTATTACTGTCATCTTATTAGAATTAAGAGAGGGAAAGGAAAACACCACCTGGTAATCACTTTGGAACTTGAAATTCTTTTCTTAAAATGACTCTTTTTAATATTAGTGTGTGGTACAAAGTTGAATTTCTTAAAATGAGTATGTTCCTTAAAATTATTTTGTGTGTGTGTCGAATCTCGGAGATAAAAGCGATATAACTCCAGCCTTGCTATAGTGGTAAGAAGGGCTGTCCAACCCTCTCGAAAAAGAAAAAAATTACTTCCCCCAAATGTCCCCAGGTCCTCTGTTGCCAGCCACAGTGGACTCACAGGTTCTGATCTCTTTCCTCTCCACGTTCCTCCTGCTTCTGAGGTCGGAGCTGCACGTCAGCTTTGGTTCGGGAATCAAGTACATTGTATTGAAGACATTAGGATAATTCATGAAAGATCTAAAACTCAAGTCAGCCTTTCTTTCCCCCACAGAGAGGTGGGTCTATTCTCATAGAAAATGCTTTCTAGTCAAGCAAAAAATAAATACAATTAGCTAGATCGTTACCTGCAAAACATAGCAAAGAATGCACATTATTCTAGAATCTCTCTAGGTGACTTTATCTGTTGTAATGACCTCTACTTTGCATTGTGTGTAAAATTTGAAATTTTAACATAGAAATGTAACACTCATAGATAGACCTGTGTTATAAGGACAGTTGGATTCTTGGGCTATGGAGGCGTTATGTTTTAAGCGACCAATGTCGTATTAATGGGAACTTGAGCTAATTTTAGGAATAATATTACAGACTCCATAATATACCGTGAGAAGGCACAACTCTTGTGGCCAGTAAGATGCTAGCACGTCTGCAAGCAGCTGTGCACGGAAGCGTCGTGGACACCCTTTGATTTTATTCTTGGTATCTCTTCTCTTATCTATCTGCTCTCCCCTGAAATTTTGCTTTGAGAGTCTGTGTGCTGAAATCCCATTGTGACATGCCTTGTGGAGCACCAAAATTATGTGGGCAGCGTCTTCTGGGACCAGTGCCGTCTGGAAGAGCATAAGCTTTTATTTGTGTCTGTACTAGGCATGTGGAAATCGAACTTCATCCTTACAGCATTCCTCCTGGCTAGACACCATGACCGTTATGCATTTGGAAGGGAAGAAGCTGAATCACGAGGGGCTAAGAAAAGGCCCAGAGTCACGCAGCCGGTGGAGGCGAGGCCAGGCTTCGCGCCCTGGCCCCGTGATGCCAAAGCCCGCGTTCTAGCTGCTCTCCTGCCCTGCCTGCCTGCCTCACGAAGAGCTTCTCCTATTCCCATTCCCTTTTATCCGTTGTGGTTGATCTCTGGTGGCCCCAAGGCCTCATGGGGAGAGCTCAACTTTTGAGTCAGCTTCACCTGGGCCTCTCTCACATGTCCTGGCTTTGTCACGTGGCCAACATCATAAAACCTCTCTAACACTCCAGCCTGGCCATGAGTTGGCGTCACATGCTATTGAAGCATCATTTGAGATAATACACGGTCTTTTTCATGCCTGTTTAAATATAATAAGCCAGGTGTGGGTCTAAGACAGGTTGAAGCAGGAGCTCAGGAGAAAGAATGGAGAGGAATTGAAAAGAAAGAGGGACTGGGGGCAGCCAGCAGTGGCGAGGCCCAGCAGCGGGGCGAGAGGCAGGAACAAGGGGAAGTCGGCAATGCTGGACGGCCGAGAAACAGAACGCCAGTTGGCAGCTTAAGAGCTGCTGGTGCATAGATTATCTACCCCAAAGGTATCATCTTCATCGCTGAGGTCACAAAGCTACAGAGACAAGCAAGCTGTCTACATCTTAAGAATCGCTGTCCAGATCATTAGTGGATACAAAGGATGCGAAGTGATATGCATTTATTGGCTACTTCGTGTGCCATCTTTACTGTTGGCAGCGCTTTGCAGACATTGTCCAAGCTGATTCTAAAACCAATTCACAAAGGCAAATCCATTGTCAGCCCCCATAACACTGAAGGATTCTGTTTTCCCATGAGCTCGAGCTGCCTACCACTGTTTGTTCTCAGACTTGAGACTTTGCAAAAAAAGGAAGCCACCAAATTGAAGTTAAGAAACTCAAATCGAGTCAAGAGCAGATTAAAAATAAGATGAAGAAGGGTCCAAAATAGAGGTAGCTCCCTATCTGTAAATGAAAATGAGCCAGACTAGACGATTGCTAAGGTTCCTGGCTTTTTTCAAAAGAAGGGTAAAAATTAATTAGCCTTCTTCAGTCGGCTTGGGATCTGGCATGTTAACTCCTCTTAATTCAGTTGGTTCTGTATCTGTAAGTGGATCACTTAATATCATTCTGATTTTGAACCGAAACTGCCCTTGGCCTGTTTAAAGAAGGCAGAACTTGAACACACAAAGCCATAGATGATGATGGACCCGCGATGCCCATCATCGTATTAACGATGATTCTATGAGATGGAATCTCATAGAATGTGAGATCAATGTGACGTCACATATGCAATGCTCTTCCTGTCTATATCTAGAGGCAGTTCCAAACTCGGAAAAGTGTTATTTTTATTCTAGACTAGAACATCTATTCAATCAGCACGTTAACCATCCAGGACACAGAGAAGCTACATGCTCACTGCACAGTGGACTAGGTGACTTGCTGTCTCCTGGGCTCAGGCACAAGCTGAGTCAGTCCTGTTTGGCGAGCATCAGCCTGTTCTTTTACTCTTTGAAGTAGGTATTTAATTTTTAAAAGCAGAGATTAGTTCGGTTTTCTCCCTGACATCATTCTCATGCTAATTGTCAAATTAGCCTTGTGGGACTCATTATTATTTTGGCATAATTTATTTACAGAGCGCATTACGGCTGAAGATTATTTGCTTCCAGACCAAGTGAGTGGTCTGCAAATATAAGTGGGCTTTTCTGCGAACAGTGCTTTCAGACACTGGGGAATATTTAAACACATGCAATCGAGCTTTGATATGTCTAAAAATAATATTAGAGTACTGCAAATTCTTGAAAACAGACCAGTGAAAACATGACCACGGAATAACTATTTTGTCAACCGAACTGAATTTTTTTGCAGGGGACTTTCCAAAGCCAGTGTGTTCTGTCATAAAACAAAGTTTATAAAGGCAAAAAGTCAAGGGCTAATGCGCCTCCGAGGACAGAAAGTTCTTTTATCTCAAGCACCAAATACCTATCTGTCAGTGTTGCTTTCGATTGCCTAATAAAATTTCACTCTAAGTGAATGGTAAGGCCGTGATTTACTGCACCAAAAACGAGTCAGTTCTCTCCATCCCTGAGCGGCCGCTGTTAACAGAGAAAAGGCTGTTCATAGACCCGTTTTCTTTTTTCCTTTTTTTTACTCGAACAGAATTAAACGGAGGTTTTAGCATCGTCGAAAAAAAATGGGCTTAATATTTAGTTTAGCAATAAGATTCTTACGCCGTTATATTTCCTTTTTCATACAGAACCAAGTCACAAAAGAAAAGGTTTGAAGAAGAACTGAATGAAAGGATGATTCAAGCAATTGATGGAATTAATGCCCAAAAGTGAGTGCGTCTTCATCTTCGATTATCGTTTGTCTCTTATTTCAAACCCTATTATGTGAAAAGATGGTTATTTGCTACCGAATCAGTACTCTCCAAGTAAGTCACTGATGAACAACATGAGGCGTAAACATGGTGAGGAAAGTTATAGAAAATGTATTCAGTAAGTAACATCGAAGAGCAACGGGACTTCATGTGGCCAAACCTTTAAGTCGTGTTACTTCACACTGTCCCCTGAAAATGCATTGATCGCCCTTCAAGATCAGAGGACATGTTCTCAGATGTGGAAGAAGGGTTTTGAGCATTAGAATCTGAATTCATGGGAGCGATAGGAATAAGACCAGTTTTTTTTTTTGTTTTTTTTTTTTTGTGGTCCATATCAGTCTGTGAAGCCTGTGAATTCTGTGAATGTGTCCATTCAGTCTATGAATTGTCATCATAGTTTTAAATGGTCCAAGAGATGCGGATAAAAAAATAAATAAAGAAGGTGGCGGCCTTCGTGGCCTGGACAGAATGATGATATTCATCAGCCTTTGACGCCCCCTTAGGCGCATTTGTCATGGTTGAACTCACGGAGGGCAGAAGCTAGATGACTCTCCGTGGTGCCTGGCACCCATCACGCATTCAATCAGTTTGTTGAATTAAATCGTAGTGAAAATATCAGTAGGTCCAAATGAAGAGTTTTTCTGGCAAAGTTTCTATCCGTATGAAAACCGGACTATTTTATTTTTTTCATGAATGATGATTCTTGAAAAATGTAAATGATTTTCACCTAAAATGCTGTCTCCACAATTAAGGTGCACATCTTTGCAAAATGTGGACTTCTTCTAGATTATTCCTTTAAGTATTTGTCTTAGAATATTTACAGGGCTTATGAAAGAATCACACGAGTGTACGCATGTGTGTATGTGAGGTGTGTGTGTGTGATTGCATTTATACACAATGGTCGAACTATAGTTGCGATTCAGATGTGCTGGCACGTTGAATTTACACCCACCTAGAGCCCCCGAAACCTAGACTGGAAATATGGGGGTCCTGCGAATTAATGAGGAGTTCATTTGATTTCCACTTTATAAATTTCACTCTTATTTTATTTTCAAAATTTTATTATCCAGGAATATTTTTAAATTAGTTTTTTTCCTCAAAAAAGAACAAGTGATTTTAATAAGTTACTTGTGTACATTATTCATAGTTGATATTCATACAAGTAGAGTTCCAAAAATGAATAGAGTTTAAATGGATCTTGAATTTCATTTTCTATCTCTTTTTATATTAACCAACCTTTGATTCTTCCAACTGGTCTCGTAAAACAGAACAACAACATATTTCTGCAGCTAGTATGGTAATAAGAAATACTAAAAATGTTTATTTCCCTGACCCTTGAAGATTAAACCCTCGAATCGAGGCGTTGCCATAGTTCTCGCTTTTAATGGTGATCATTCTAGAGCCCGTTTCTAGCTTCCGTGCCTCAGCTGAAAGGGCGCTGTCCGTAGTTTAGTCTTGTGGGTGTTCAAGTTCATCGCGGTGTGTGCCCATGAGACTCTTCCACACTGTCCATTCAGACCTGGGGGTGGCCCTCCTCAGACGTGCTGGTCTCCAGGGTTAACCTGTCATTAGTCTTAATGCGAAACGTCAGTGTACAGCGACCCTAATCTGAAATCGGGAGGTGGCTGTTCTTGCCGATTACTGGGCAAAGTGGAGCAGTTCGCTTGGCCTTTTCTCCTAGATCCTCAAAGGCCTGCATCTTTTCTCTCTCCCAAACTTATCTTGGGGAGTCCAGATCCGAAGACAGATGGCCAGTGGGTTGGAAAGTAGTACATTAAGGATTTCATGTGAATTGATAATTGTTTGAACAGATGTAACATTTGGGGGAGATATATGTAAAAATAATTTTATCTCTAATATTCTAACATATATACTCTCTCTATATGTGGGTATATAAGCATAGATGTAAATATAGATGTAGACATATGGTTATATATACTTGTAGATATGTACATATGTATGCATATATACATGCATTTCCATATATGATTCAGGTTATTTTATAATTATAAAAATTTGTTTAAAAAAATTAAGAAAGTAGAAATATAAATTCCTCAGTTTAATGACTCGAACCAGTTGGTAATATATCTTACTGGTATTTATTTCTAGATATTTTTCTTAATGCGTAGTTTTCAATTTTTTCTTATTTAACTTTATTTCATAAAACAGGTGTTTGTTTTATTGCCAGACGCGTGACCGTATCAGGCGTCGTGCCCGGCTTGCTTGCTTGTGTGCTTAGTGTACCTACTTGGCTTGTGATAATAGACAACCTTCTAGTGAGAAGGTTCATCCTTAAGCTCTTTCTCTATTTCAAGTACTTTCTTACAACAGATTTCTAAGAGTTGATCAGCGTGTAAGAGTGCATACTTCTGTATAATTTTTACTTATTTTTCAGCGACTGAGAAATGTATATGTACTTACGTGTGTGTGTGCTCACGTTTGTGTCACCATGCAGTGTAAGCGTTCTGAACTGATTGTTTATTATATTAGTATTTTTACCTGTTTTTTAAAACTGTGTTCAAATATGATTTTTACTTGATAGAAATGAAAGAAAAAAAAAAACAGGAAAATAAAAGTATTTTCAGCAAGTGTGAAAGAAACCAAATCCTCTTGCCCAGAACTTGAAGGATCTCTGAATAGGTTTGACATTTCATGAGACGCTGCTTACTACAAGCTAAGAAAAATAGTGCTTCTCTATGAACCGTATCCTTCAGGACATGACACTACCATGTGATTTCAGTAAAACGTCAGGGAACACATTTACCGATGCACTAGAATTGCTGTTATTTCATTTGGATGACTCGAGTTTCGATTTGGTATGATGGTTGGTTTGTAACATCAAATTTCCCGAGGAGGGTAGTGTGTAAATAGGAAAATTATGTTCACAGCCCTGTTATCAGTCTCTAGATTCCATATCCAGTTATTTGGCAGTATACATTTTTTAAATATTCAATTTTGGAGAATTTGCAGTAAAGTAAGAAGAATTCAAGTTATTTATTTTTGAAAAAGTAGTTTCAGATATTTGGTGGGAAGTTTGGTTTTATGATGTCTGTCTTTCATATTTCTAGGCAATGGCTCAAGTCTGAAGACATTCAAAGAATCTCATTGCTTTTCTACAATAAAATACTAGAAAAAGAGGTAAGCTCTTTTTTCTTCAAAATCAATTGCTTTTTCTGAAATGTTAGTTTTAAAAAATTCCTTCATGAAATTATACTTGTGTTTTTTACTTGTGACATTTAAACTGCCTCTAACTTTATCAGAACTCTTTCTAGCTTCTCCTATGGCCTTTTCATGTCAAACTGTTTTACAATGGTTCTTGTTACCAAGCTTCTGGTTTTGGCTAGTCACCATTCTCAGCATCCTGGTCGTAAGTGACATCTGGGACATGTCTGAGATAGGGGGTTAAAGGAAAGAATCATGATCTAAACAAAGTCTTCCCGATAAATTTCCATTACTTTATACATTTTATTTTAACTTTTTAACAAAAATGTGAGATTTACATTAAAGACATGTTTTGCAAAAGTAAAACCCCCAGACTTTTAAGTTTTGTTATATCTAAATACTTTCACATATAGCTCATAAGATAAGTGCTATTTCAGGCATATATAATAATCAGACATTTTATTTTTACATATCAAGTTTCACATGAATTTGCTAAAATAAATTAAGTAATTATTACAGGAAGAATGATTCTTCTAGGTCAGCTTATTTCATTTGCCTTTTATTTTGTGTTGATCTAGAAAAGGAACAAATCATTTCCATTATGCAACCATATAATGACAGTCCTAATTTGAACAAAAGCTACTATATTAATGGCAGCAGTCACAGCACTGGTATTAAAACTCTGTTGAGAAAAAATTCAATTCATCGTTTCATGAATACTGAATAAAAACATCAAATATAAAAATTACTTACAAAATTCATCAGGTGGGGATTTTGCAGTTACACAAAAACTTACTTTTTAATTAGTGGTCAAGATCAATTATCTGCTTCTGAGTTAATATATTGACTATGGATGGTCTACCGAATTGATATTTCATATGATTTTTTATTATTATTTCGACCATTTACCCTTGAATGACTTTAATAGACACTAATGGTTACTTATGGTATAAATGATGAAGTATTCTCTTCCCGATACAAGTTCATTCCCTTTATTAATATTGAAAGGAAATTCCAACTCAGATCTCTACACAAAGCCCAGAAGATGAAAGATAGAGATGTCACTGAAGGTGTAGAATGTAATCACATTTCTTCAATTGTACGGATATAGCTTCTTCATCAGCATATAAATTATCCAGGCTATTAAGTCAGAACATTTACTAATTAAAAAAAAAATTCTAGCAAATAGAAAGTATCATCGTTTACAAATGCAGCTTTAGTTGCATTCCCTATGTGTACATATTTGCAGAGGCCAACTTTGAGGCAAATTTTAGAGAGTATTGGAATTTAATCTCACTTCTTATCCACCTCCGCCCAGCCCGCTCATCAAGGCTACAGGATGGGTCCAAGGCAGCAAGGCACAGAGGGAGAGAAATATCAATTCACCACCCAGCGGTCCAGCATCTCGAACTAAAAGCCCAGTGGCTATAACCCAAGAAATACATACTATAATTTCCTATAACTTGAGAAACAGTGTGTGCAGATAAAGCTGACACAGCCTACCGATATTGTCAGGAGGTTTCAATAGCATTGCCACAAAAACCTTATTTCCTTTAATGTTATTATAAAATCCTCTTTTGAGAGGTAGTGCAGCCTCAGCTGGAGCATTGGCTGTCTTTTAGCCTCATAACTCAGGCAGAGCCGGTCTCAGGTGGGCAGCTACGCCGGTCACTTCACCGTCCTGGATGGAACAGAAAGCTGTGTGGCCACTGCCGATTGCTCTGGACAAGTGGGAGGAGACTCCAGCAGCCACACCAGCCAACGCAATGACCGGGGACTGAGAACGAAGCCCGCTGGTCCCCTCTATCTTGTCAATCCCCTCCCCCACCTCTGAGCAGCATTAAGATAAATCGCTAAAATAAGTAAATCAAATGAGGAAATTGCGTTTCCTCAATAATATCGAAAACTGAAATATTTTGTAAAGAGTCCTTTGCTTTCTCCAAACGACTGTGGGCATCAGACCCACGAGGGAACCGGGCCCTGCTGTTCAGGTGCTCGCTTCTTGCCGAGTGATTCGATTACCTCTAAATGGCTTTCTGAACAGTTTGACTCAGAAAAGTCATGGTGTTTGGAAGTCACAGCGCATTCGGAGGGAGGCGGTCCTCGTTGCTGGAGATGAACAGCCATCGTCCCTGGTGTGTCTGTGCTGCAGTCTACGCTCGACAAACGGGATGCGCGAACGGGGTCCGATTAGGCTGCTGGACGAGTGTTCCAGCCGCTCTCTTACAGAGCTGTCATTCACAGTCTCCTTCTTCCCCCTTAGTACCGAGCCACGGCGCTGCCGGCCTTCAAGTATTACGTGACCTGCGCTTGCCTCATCTTCTTCTGCATCTTCGTCGTGCAGATTCTCGTGTTGCCGAAGTAAGTACGTGTGGCTCCCCGTGGGGACCCTCGCCTGGTGCACCCCCGCACGGGCCCAGTCATGCCTGAGGATGCGAGCTGTTCCTTTCCAAACAGAGGGATTACGTCACATTCCACATGCCACAGTGGCAGTGGATGGGGCGAAACGCCAACCTGTGTCATGTTTCGTTATAGGAATATTGGATTTTCAAAGTGGACATGTTGAGTCACCTTATACGGATTTGTTTTAAACAAATTTAACCTTCTGATTTTGATTTCTATATTACTCTGATGTCCAGTCTAAGAAGCATAGCCCAATAAACCTCACCCAGGAAGGACAAAGTCACTAGATTTTTTGTTCTTGTTGTAGTTTCTAATAAACAACATAAGTGTTTATTGAAAGGATAAAACCTGTTCTGGGAATGCTTCCCCCGCTCATTCGTTCTGATTTCACATTCTCCTTCATGAAATCCAGTCTCTGCCACCTTATCTGGCTGTCATAAGTCACTGTCCAACTCACGTCTCCCAGGAGCGACGTGGTATGGACAAGAGAAACTGAGTGAGCTGGATTCCACGCGTTCAGACTTTGGGGTGAGCTCTTCCTGGTTTTGGTCCGGGTGACCTCGTGGGTTCTGAATTGTGAGGGCATCGCTGTGATATAGTTTTCAGTGTATCTCTACCAGATACCTCTGGGATTCACCACTTTTGTTAAATCCTTAGGTGAAGGCTTCTGCACTAACTAAGGCATGTGAACTTGACTAGCCCCTTAGCACGGAGCAGGATGGGTATCTCACCTTTTAAAGATCACCCTTTTTTCACTCATGGCCCTAGACAGATAGTCAACATCGCTGAAAATTACCAGGCTGATGGACAGTTTTGATTTTTCTTATTTCCTGGTGGGACAGCACTTTCTGCCTCTTGATATATCATCCAAGAGCCCAATTCCGATTTTCCGTTAATGAAATGCCTGGGAGCATTGCCAGGTATAAATATTAAATCTCACACTCAGTGGCATGTATCAGCCTCTGGTTCTACCTGGGTCATTTAGCGCCAACACCTCTCAGCACTGTGCTTTCGAATACCCTCTGTGTATCTAGTGTTTTCTCTGCCTCGTTTATGAACTCATCTACTTAAAAATAATAATTCTGTTATATTTATGAAATATTTTATTGGAATAATGGTGCTTCTCACTTCTGCTGACATACCTTTTGTTTTTTTTTTAATTTATTGAATTGTAGTTTGATTTTGTTTGCTTTCTTAGTGGTATACTGTCCCATGATTTTGGAGGAAAGAAGGGAAAGAAATGATTAAATGAGTGAGTAAGTGAATAAATGAAGGAATAACTAATAATAGAAGAATGTGTGACCTTGAAAGGGCCAATAAGAAAAAGTCTTTTTCTGAAATAGGGTCTTACTTCATTCCTACTTGGCCCATATTTTTTAATCTGGCTCTAGTCTCAGAATTTTAATCGACATAATTAAGTTATTGGCTCCTCTTCGGGGAGGTGTTCTCTCACTTCTGTATGCCTTGCTCTATAACTCTATCAGAAGTGTGAGCTACCTTTGAAGACCAAAAACGATCGAGCATAAATTACATTTGCATTTTTTAATAGTTTTATTCATATCATCTGCCAAATTAAATACATTATGTTAAACCAGACATAGGCGATTATTAAAATTAGGATGATTTTTTTTTCTAATAAAGTTTAGTTAAATATCATGTGTTGTATAAGCCCAAGTTAAATTAAGAATAATGGTATTTTACTTAAGGAACATTAATAGTCAGATTATAATATTAAATCTCTTAGAACTTTTATTTCAGCTTAGATTCTTTAATACTCATTCCATTTCTCATTTTAATACTTAATACTCATTAATTCTTTAATACTTATTTCAAAAGAGTCACTTATTTTGTTTTTATCTCCAAAAATTAAAAAAAATAAATAAATAAGAAAAAGTTTAATGGTAGAATCATTCATGTTCATTGAAAGCAAACCTGGTTTCTTAAACACCGATGATGGAAAATAACTATCGTGGAGAAAGTTTGCTTTGGTGAGCCCAAACGTTGTATACAATGAAATTAAGTTACTCCTTATGTACCTTGATGCAGTGGATGGGAATCTTAGGACAAATCAAGAAAGAAAGAAGGAACAAAAGAAAGAAAGGAGAGAGGGAGCGGGTAGAAGAAAGAACGGAGGGAGGGTGGGAGGAAGGGGGGAAGAGACTTCTCACTGTCTAAGATGAAGGACCCACGTGGCTTTTACCGACATGAACAGTGTAGAGCTTGGAGTTCTGGTCATCTGAGAGTAAGGAAATCGTCACGGTTAGGAGCTTGAATGAGGGCTAGTGCTGTAGTTCCTTCCCACGGTCAAAGGCCAGAGGTTGGGGGTGGTGCCCCACCTCTCAGATTCCTTGGCTGCTTCCAGCCCACCACTCTGATTTCCTTCGTCTTTGTCTCCCACCTTCATTCTCTAAGATGGCAGCGTTCACCTTCTGAGCAACAGGATAGAGGGACAGACCCAGAAGCAGAGAGCAGGAAGCATTCGTAATTGCTATCTCTTGGGGAAACCTCCCAGAAGCTACGTCATGGCACTGTGGTTTATAACCCAAGTCTGTGATCACAAACCTAGCTGCAAGGGAGGCTGGTTTATAACCCAAGTCTGTAGTCACAAACTAGTCACAAAACCTAGCTGCAAGGGAGGCTGGAATCTTCAGTCTTCAGTCTGTGTAACAAGACGCTTATCTAAAAATTTCTAATATCATGAAAAAATATAATTCATGAAAACCAGTACTCTCTCCAGGAAAGAAAACCACTTTTTGTCAGCTATGTGTCACTAGTATAGTAAGACGTGAGGCATAATAACCATCGAAAGGGAGCTAAGCCTCTTTTCACTCCGTGAAACAGGACTACATACCTTTACTTTGTACCCAGGGGTATAGTCAGAGTGTTTGTAATGGAAATAGAAATTCATGCACGCAGTCAGTCATTTGTGGAATCATTCAACAGTTGTTTACTGAGCTACCATACGCCAAGCATAGTTAGATGATGGGAAACAGCAGTAACCCCCAAAAGTACCATCTGTCATATAACTTACTACATCCTATCGGAGAACACATAATGTAATAAAAAAATGTATATATAATTCAGTGGTGCTGAGCTTTAAGAAGAACTAAATGGCAGGACACAGAGTGAGGGACAGTGGTATTTCAGACGAGGGTGGTCTGAGAAGGCATCATAGACACAGCGACATTGAATGAATTGGAATGGGAATAATGCAGATGCTGGCAGAAGAACATTCTCAGTGATGGGAGTCACAGGTGTGTTCGTTCAAGGGGTGGCGGGAGCAGAGTGAGCCAGGAGAGGGTGGCCGGAAATGGGAGGAGAGGCGCTGTTGGAGGGGCAGGCCCTTCCGGGCTACTGGAAGAACTTTGGATTTCATGCTGGATACAACAGAAGGCCCTAGAAAGGTTCTCAGCTGCGGACATGATCTGGTTATGCTCAAAAGTGTTGTTCTTGTTGTTCTGGAGGGGCCGGGGGTAGGAAGAGGAAGAGGTCAAGTTCTGGATATATTATGAAGAGTGATGTAGACAGGTCTTATGAAGAGTGATGTAGAGTAAGAGAAAGTTCTGTGAAATTTCGAGGGGGGCAGGTGGGCATGGGGGTCAGCCTGGACGACTGGAAATATGCAGTTGCCGTCTACAGAGGGGGAGAATCCTGGGATAGGAAAAGGCTGGGGAGGGCCGTGGAACCAAGGGCTCGGCTGTGGACATCAGAGACGTGTGTGCTCATGATGTGACCCCTTCTGCCTCCCTCTCCCGCATCACGGGGCCTTCAAGGGGCCAGCACATCTATTATGAGAGAAGGGCTGCTGTAACGCGTGATGGAAAAAGATATTTAAATTCCTTTTTCCTTTTCATCTTTTGATTCTTTCTTTTTTTTTTTTTTACTGGATTCCCTTTCATTTTTTTCATTTTGAAGTTCTATCACCTATCACTTAAAAATGAGATAGAGAAAAGGAGGGCTTTTTATTATTCCATGCTAACTTATTCTTAACGGAAAAGTTTTCTTCCCTTAGTTCTCGTCATCCTTGCTCAGTACCGTGTACCAGACGTGCACAGGGTGCTGATGAGAGAATCTGCAACCTCGTTTGTGGGAGGAGAAGGGAGAGCACAGAGGGGGGAGGGGCATGAGAGGCATCATCATACTAAATAGAATTCCAGAGAATGAGCTTGTTATTTACCCACTGAAAGGGTTTATATCTAATGTAACTTAGACATTTTGGGGGGGATGTATATCTCTTCTGGCTTCGGTCAGTGTGCTTCCTCGTTCCTGTCAGGACCATCTTTAAGCCATAAACTGACTGGGGAAAAAAAAAACAGAAAGGAGAGAATCAGCCTCTTCCATTTACTGTAACAATATACTTGATTAAAGTGCCAGAGTCAAAAATTATTACTAAAAAGTGTGATTCTTTTTCCTTGCCGCATGACAGAGAAGAGTCAAGTTTGCTTTTCAGTGAGTGCATAATCAATTATGCTTGTGTGTCAGCAAGAAACAGCTTTGCGACCAGAATGTTAATTAAAACTGGTTATGTTACACAAACATCGTGGTATGCTTAATGGGCCTGAACGTGATTTTGATAGAACAGGCAGATAAACAGTTATAATTAAGAGCTTTCGACCATTACTTTGCCTCATGGTATGTCCCGTTCCCCGAGGTGACAGCTGCATCCATGTGAACAAGAAGGCCAGTGTGCCATGGGCTGGAACACTGGACAGCCTCAGGCTGAGCACGATGGTGAACGTTTGAACCATTCAGGGTCTGAATCTGAGGCTGCAACATCATGTTCTAAATATAAAATCATGTCACCTTCAAATAGAGAAAGTTTTACTTATTTTTTCCAATCTGATGCCTTTATTTCATTTCCCTGCCTAATTTCCCTAGCTAGGTTCTCCAGTACAATGTTCAGTAGAAGTCGTCACAGCACACATGTATTCTTGGAATACTGTCCAAGCTGTAACATATACTAGACCATAAAAGCACCGACACAAATTTGAAAAGATCGAAATAAATTTGAAAAGATAAAAATCTTATGGTCTTATAGCTAATTACACCAACATCAAATTAGAAATCAAGAACATTAGAATATCAAAAAGTATCCCCAATATATATTTCATTGGTCAATTATATACTTTTGAATAATCTATGAGTCAAAAAAGAAATCACAAGAGAAATTAGGAAATCTTTGCATATCAAAATATAACATATCAAAATATGTGGGATGTAGCTTACAGCAGTCACTTCAAGAAGAATTACAGCTTTAAAATGCTTATACCAGAAAGAAGATTAAAATCGGTGGCCTCAGTTTCCAACTTAGGAAGCCAGAAAGATGAGCAAATCGATAAATACTAAAGAAAGAAGATAGAAAATAACCAGTACAGAAAAATAGTATAGGCAAAAATTGATTCTTTGAAAAATTTAAATATTCCTAAACTTCTAGCAAAAGTGATCAAGAAAGAAAAAGAGAAAGATTATCACGAACAGCCAAACTAATAATATGAAGAATAAAAGGGGATTCGCCACAGATCCTATAGATATTAAAAGGATAAATATGGAGTATTATAAGTTACTTGAGGCCAAGAAGATTTACAATTTAGATAAAATGCGAAAATTTATCGAAAAGACAACCTACCACACCTGACACATAATGGAATAGAAAATGTCAATGTCTCTATCACATTTATTAAATTGATTTTTAAAATCTTCCCACGAAGAAAACTTCACAGCAGGGTGATTTCTGAGCGAGTTCTACCAAACATCGTCAGAAAATAAGATAGAAAACGAATTTCATAATTGTGAATGGATAACAATGCCCTATTCGTGGAAAGAGGCTCAAACTTTGCGGCTACAAACCAAAGGTCCCCTCTGTGCTACACATAGGAGACCTAGCTAAAATGGAAAGAGAGCACTTGGAAAGAGAGGATGGAAAATAGCTGTTCTGGGAAACAAAATATTCCCAGAAAAAAGGAAGCTGCCGGAATGTAGACGCCTGGCAATCGAGAAGTCAAGTGGAAGGCGTTCAGCATGAACAAAGACATGTCAAGGTATGGTACAGTCACCAAGAAGGGTTAGCGATCATAAGTTTTTATACACGCCAGCATCTTTTCGAAACAAATAAAGAGAAACTATTAAAATGTTTAGATATATGGACAAACCCGCAACCCTATTTGAAAATGTTAATACTTTCTAAAATTGACAGACCAAATGGAGCCCGTTAAGTCAGCCCACTGGGGACTTGACTTATCCATCAGGCCCTGTGAATAGATATAGTTGAAGAACATGTTTTGTTGCCAACAAAAAGAAAATGCATATCATTTTCAGAAAAACATAAAACATCATAGAAGTAGAGCATATTTATCACAGCCCAGAAGAAAAATAAATCATCCAAGTATAAATGATAACCACAATCTCTGATCAAATCTATTGAAATTAGAAATAAGGAGAATAGACCAAAAATAATCTCTTTGTAGAATTTATAAATTAGACTTCTGAATTACTCTTGTATTAAAAGGAAATGGAAATTGAAATTATAGGCCGTTTAGAAAAGAACAGTGATGAGTAGCTATAAATCAAAGCTGTGGAGTTTGGCTAAAACAGTAATTATAGGAATATTTATGTCCTTAAATATATTTATTAGACAATACAAAAGACTGCCAATAAATGACAATCAAGAAAAAGAACTATATAAGTTTTTTAAAGAACTTTTAAAGTTAAATCAGAAACTAATAATATAGAAAATTATCAGAAAGCATATACCTTAATAATAAACCAAAAGTTCATTCTTTGAGATCAACAAACATGTAAAGTTTTGAAAGTCTGATTTAAAGAAAAAAGAGAAAAATAACATTAAGTTTAAGAAGAAATTACTTCAAATATGGAGATTTTAAAAATCGTTAAAAGAATATTATGTAGACTATTTTACACACACACATATACATGAAGTGGATAATTTTCTAGGAAAATTATCAAAATTGACTTAAAAAATAGAACCAGTAAACATGGCAGAAATGTGCTTCTGAAAATAGAACCAGGTCAGGAATACAACCCTGTGGGCGTAAACCTCGACCTCACCGCTTAACAGACGTCTGACTTCCGTCAAGTCTCTCAGATTCTCTGGGCTTCAGTTTCTCTTCGGTACAATGAAGTGGTGATACTAACTCCTACTGAGGATTATCATGAGAGTTCGATGAACTATACACACAAAGCCCTTGGGAACAGTGCTTGGCACCTAGGAAATGCTCTATGGGTGATAGCTTGTAGCATCCTATCATCACCGTTACCTCATCAGGTGGTTTTACGGTTGAGATTTAGCAAACCTTCCGGAAGAGGTCACTCATTTATTATTTAGAGCTTCAGACCTCAGGAAAAGAAGTAACGTTTCTGAATTCAACCTAACGAGTCTGGCATTACCTTGACATCTAAAAGGAACCAGGTAAACATGGAGTCCAAGAAACCCCATCAGAGCTTGTTTCGTTATTTGAGAATAAAAACAGATGAGAAAGATGGCAAACAGACGTGGAGCGGATGAATGACCGTGACCCTCTTCAGTCACAGGAGAGACAAGAGCCCTCCGTTCACACTGTCTGCCTCTGCAGCGCCTGACCAGGGACGTAGGACTGGAGAGGTGTCCTAGAGAAGGGTGTCCTAGGTGGGGACGTAAGGGGACAAGCAGTACTGGCCTCTACTAGACACAGGTGGCTTCTTCCTCACCTTCCTGTCATTACAGTATCTCGCGGGCCTGGCATGTGAGACTAGCCAACCATCTTGGTGTCTTCCCAGCACAGACTCCCTGTCCCTCATAAAACATGAATGGATATCACTACCCAGCAGGCATTTGAAAGCTCTGTGGATCCCGGCCAGGCGATCACACAGCATTCAGCATGCCACTGAGTCAGGCTCGAGGGTCGGTCTGACCTCAGGTGTGCAGGCCTCGCTGGGCGTGCAGTCCCTCTCAGAGCGGGGTAGGGATCCGAGTGTGCGGGCTGCATGGCACCTTCCCACCGTGACAGCATCCGGGGTTACTCCGGTCACTCAGTTGCTTTGTTCGCCTCGTTTTGGGGCTCAAGGCTTGGCCCCGGCCTATAACTTCAGCTCGTTGCTGGTTTGCATCTGGCTCCCCGTCCCAGCTGCTGGCATTTGGGGTACTGCAGGCTCTGTGGTGTCTCTGGCCACCCTCGTTGGCCTGAGGTTCTGCGTGGTCTGGGACACACCCGGCTCTCCTCTGACGTCCCATTTCAATTTCATCTTTGGTTATCCACTGTGGTTGGGCTCTTTTGATACCCCGAACGCCTCTCCCCTTGGATTATATGAAGTTTTTAAAGGCTTTTAATTTTTTAAAGGCCCTCTCAGAAATGCATACAATTATTACGAATACTTATACCTCCCTGTCGGTGGCACACTCATGGGCACACTGCTCACGTGATCACGGAAAGCTTGGGTGTTTGCTGACTTGTGCAGGAATGTAAAGGCCGTGGGCTGTGCAATCTCGAGGGAACCTCGGGAAGCATTTAGATGCGTCATGTTGGAGGAAGTTGATTCTGGTCGGATTTTAGTGGGGACAATAGGGACTTCCTGTTTCCTAAGCGAACAGCAGCCAGGATGGGGCGTGGGGTCTTCGAGAGCATCCTATGAGGCTGCCCTGGATGCAGCAGCTGCCAGGACATCAACAGCAGGGAAGGGGACACCGAGACGGACAAGGTCAAGTGCAGGTACCAGTAGCATAGGCGAGTCATAAAAAGATTGTTTTTCTTTGATGAAGAACTGTTCTCTATAGGGCAGTTTTAATGACTCGTAACAAGTCAGTCGGACACGACTGTAGACGTGCTTCTTTGGATGTATTTTGGGTTTTATTTTAGCTTCATTTTCATTTCTCAAAAAATGAGTGAGGATCGAAGTCCTCGCTTGGTTAAGTCCCAGCGAAGCTGCGATGTTAATGCTGGCTTTCTGGAATAACCAGCTCTCTGCTCGCTAACCTGTTCCCTTTTGTTTCCTGGCAGAACGTCCATTCTCGGGATCTCCTTCGGAGCTGCGTCTCTCTCGCTTGCCTTCATCCTTTTCGTCTGCTTCGCTGGACAGCTTTTGGTAGGTACTGCAGATATGGACCTTCTTTGAAAACTGTGCTCACTGGATGAAAACCGACTCCTTACTTAAAACAGGGAGCTCATTACCTTACATTTCCAGTGATACAGATCTCAGTGAAGCAGCCCAGAATGCAAACTGAGGCAGCTCATGCACAAACGAGACTCTAATTTGAAGATTATTTGAGATGCTGGATGGCACATCATAAAACTATAGCTATGGCTGTTTGTTTCTGTCAACATGTTTTATCATCTCTAGGTTCTCAGAGTATTTATAACTGAGATCGTAAGCATAATAAGCAGCTTTTAGTGCACAGGGAATTAAAATTCAAACCAAATATATATTTTATATCTACTTGCCAGGTGTAAAATCTTAGAACATGTGTAAATTGCAATGTAAAAAATGTATCTTATAGGTGTTTTAATTTAAGCTAATCGTTGTGCAGTCTTGTGGGTTAGATGCTGGTTCTGGATATAGGAATTAAACCTCTGTGCATCTGTCAGTCTGAAGCAGTGTTGCTGGCTGGCTCCAGCTCCATGTGGGATAGAAGTTCCCAAAGCGAATCAGTGTTCCATTCTGTTCATCAGAGACGAGTCGAAACAGGAGAGGCCGCTCGCTCTCAGCTAGGTTTTGAGCCGAGTTCATGAGCATCCCAAAATTTTAAATTTGCAATAATTTGTTATACAAAATAAGTAGGAATAATCTTAAAAATATTTGTCAATGAATGCACAGTGCCCGCGTCCTCATTCCTGGCCGGCACCCACACGTACCTGATGCTCAGAAGTTCTTCTTAACTCTGGTTTGTCTCAAAGAGAACATTTTAAGACTGCAAATGAACTGGCGCCTGCCTCTTCCTTGCAAGAGGCCTGCGTTTTGCCAAAGTGCTCAGGGAGAGGAGACTTGAAGGCAGCTGGTCGTTCTGAACTTGAATCCATCCGTAGGATCCGTGAACAAGTCTCCCCCTAGTGGCCAGCTGGGTCCTTGGCCCAGACGGAATGCTGGTAAAATTCAAGAAGGAATTCTCGTTGCTATAAGAGCTTCTTTTTACTGTTTAGACAATTCTGTAAGGGTTGTTTTTTAACCGTCAACCTCAAACTTATTAACACACAGCCAATCTAAGAAGGCTTCAAGTGTGCTTTCTATTCTCTCGAAAACCTACCAATTATACGAGATCGCCTTACGATCTGCATTTATTTATGGATTAAATACTAAGTTTATGAAAAAATACTTATCCCAGACGCCTTTTCCAGTAACGTACGTTAACTTTCTGAAAACTTAAACGCCAGAGGCAGTATCGATGCTAACGTATTGGTATTAAGTTCTCCGTTTGAAGAATTAAAGAGGATTCATGAGGAGGTTGAGAACGGGCGAGCCCAGGGGCTGTCTTCCTGCCAGGCTTTACCTTTGCTGCCCTCCATTACACCAAAAAGTGCGACACAGGTAAATAAAATTGGTAGCTCGCGGTACAGCTGGATTTGATTTAAAAAAAAAAAAAAGGGGAGAGAAGCATCAAAATGGGCAAAAAGTAAGAGTGATTGACATGAAAGTTTTTCTTGTTGATAAAAAATTCATACAGGTATTTCTTCAGTGACACATTCTGAAAAAGATGTCAGGGACTTTGCTATTTTAATTACCCAGCCCGTCCCTGTCTCTGTCCTCTGCTGCCACCTCCGCCCTGCCCTGGGGCCTTCAGACTCTGCTCCCCACCCCTCACCTGGCCCACTGCCCAGCTCTTCTTGGAGCTTGGGTCCTTCTTGGTCCTTCTTGGAGCTCCGTGTGACTGAGGGTTTGTTCCGCATCATGTGGCACTCGATTCCATAACGGCTCGTTTGACCTCCCCGTTCGTGAGTGTGACTGTCATCTCCCCTTCCAAACACATAGTAGGTGCCAGTCCTCTGGCGAGTCCAGCAAAGCGCTGACCACACGACCACGTTTCATAAGCATGCGCTAAGTCGGCGTGACTGGACGGTCCCATCATTTCTGCCAGGATTCTTTCCTTCGTCCACTCACCTGGCTCCATGTCACGCCTCCCTCGTCTGCCCAAGATGCTGTGCCCTCAGAGCCCATGCTAATCTCCTTCTCGACACGCCTTCGCGTGGGGACAGGGTTGTGTGTAATCAAAAGCGTGAGTGCGTGGAGCAGGGGGAGTCGGCGGCCTTCTTATAAGCGCCACGATTCCTTGACACGAACAGGCCTCCGCTGGAAATAAGCTTCGAACCTTCCTGACCAACTCGGTAGAGCCCACCTCTCCAGCAGGCAGCTTCCCTGGTGCCTGCTGGCCAGGCTTCCTGTTAGGCATTCTTATTTGCATTTTTCAGATGGAAAGGTCCTCGGGGAGTTCACATCAGCCCTGTTTTGTGCCCTGTAGTGCTTAAAGGCCCCCAAAACACAGGGTAAATATTCAGCATTGTTTGTTGAGGGAATGTTGGGTTGTACCTAATGCGACCTCCTGGCACCACTGCTCAGAAAATGTCCCTCCCCTGTCCTCACACACCCTCGACTTCTCCTGAATTTGGCTCACAGCCACCGCATCCCTGCTCCAAATTCCAGCAAGCCCCTGGCCTGTGGGCTGCCTGGCCTATCGTCCTGGTGTCCTCACCTGTCACATCTCCTTGGCCCCCCCGCATCAGTGCCTTTATGAGGCACTCAGCTTTCTACAGCAGATGCTGGCGAGCATTTTAGAACCGTAAACTCGAGAATCGAAGGAGAACTCAGAGACGGCCTCGTCCAGCCCTGCATTTTGGGGGTGAGGGACTCAGGACTCTGGAGTGTCGTGTGCTTTGGCAAGTTTTTATTTCCATTCATTTAGAAGACATTTCCCTCCAGGAAAAATGATGCAGAAGGAGTCGTAAGCAGATCTCTTGAGGATGGAATGAGACTTTGGAGCAGGCTCACAAGTGTGACGACTATAAGGCAGAAGGGCTTTCCTGCCCTCGGCTAAGATCTTTCAGCATTTGAAATATTAGTTCATTCGTTTGTTTGTTTGTTTGTTTGTTTGTTTGTTTTTATGGTGGCGTTGGTTAACGATACCCACTGTTCCAGCTGTACACTTGAACAGTAAGGCATGTATATATTTACACTGCGCGTTCACCTCCCATAGTTAGACTTCTTTCTGTCACCACATATTTGATCCCTTTTACCCCGTCGACCTCGGCTAAGATCTTTTAGAATCAATATAAATGGCTTACGATGGGCCGGATCTCCACAAATAGTTCTGTCTCTGACCTCGTCGCAGTCTACAAATAACAAATATTACATTACATTTAAAATGACGACGTATTTCGCTGGGCGTTTCATGTACTCACGAGCATCCTTGGAGGATGTGCTGCCTCTGAACTAAGGCGACGAAGCGCACAGATGCTGCGTAGCTCACCCTGCAGCTGACGGCGAGCGGCATAGAGCCGGAATCAGAGTCAACCCTGAGAATCCTTACAATTTTTTTAACTCTTCGTTTACCAGCGCCAGCATTGAGTGGCCTTCCCAGTCCCCCTAACTTCCTTCATGCTGTTCTCACGTTCATTTCGCTGTTTTCTTGAGGCCATTTTCTTCTGATACAGGCCATGGATAGCAAGTCTATGTTTGGGTTCGTTTTTTGTTGTTTTTTTTTCTCACAATCCAAAGAATCGTAAATCATGCTAAAGTTGGTTGTCTCACCACCATTCAAATGGGTCCTGAATCCAAAGATGACATCTGGTGTGGTCTTGTGCATTTTCCCTGAGCTTCTGTCTTACGTACCGTCACCTTCCCAGGGTTAAAGGTGTCGCTGACCATTTGTTTCCGTGGAAGTGGCCTGTCGTTGGTCATGAACTTCCTGATCTGGAGAGCTACCGTCTCGTTCATGATGGCGGCCGACCCTCAAGCAGCCAGGGAGGAAGAGAGCTCCTTGTAATTAGTTGAGGGCAGGTTCCAGAGTGCCAGGCTGTGTGAAGAGAGGGTCACCCAAGAAGAGTGCCAAGTACTAGGCAGGGATGTCCGCGTTCACGCCACAGGCCAGCGTGGCACAGAGGATGCCTCGTGATCACTGCTAAGCATCTCTTGGTCAGAATCACACCGCGAGTCAGGACAGCCTCACCCAGAGCCTCATCCAATTCTCCCCAGCCTCATTCCTGATATATATTATTCAGCTTTTGGCCCAGTTTGTGTAAAATGGGATCCTGGGGAACGTTTGACTCCATCTTAAAAGACATTTGGTAAAACAGAAACAGAAACGTTAATTTATCCATGGATTTAGACTCTCAAGTATTCTCGTAAGAAAGTATCCTTAAGACTTTTTAAATGTTTTCACACATATGAGAGCCCTTCAGAGTGTTTTCATATGTATTATGTTTTGACAATCAAAACAATCCATTTTATTCAAGTAGAAACTAAGACATAGAATAAGAGACACGAGTTCACATTTTCATCGCGATCAGCAATAAAAAATAAAAATAATTATTATAGTAGTTTAATAATAATGTGTACATTTCCCACCAGATTTAACTTCCTAAACTATACGAGGTGGGCTTACATCTCTGTAACAAATACAACACAGTGACTCGAACCAAAAATACCACCCAAAAAACACCCCAAAAGCATCTTTGAAAACAAGCATGCCAGAGACAGCAAATGAAAATACTAGAAAATATCAGGAGACATGTTCTCTCGGTGCTGTCGTCTTGTGCTTTGTAGCGGAGATAATATGATGCCAGCCCCCCAACCTTGTTCCCCGTAGAAATGAAAGCACAAATGAGGAGATCGTCCTGGGAAGGAAAGTAGGACACACGCCGGCCGACGAGAAGGCTGTCTGGCCCCAGGAGTGTTTTTCCTTCAAGTCCATTTTCTCTAATGCCAACATAACTATCATCTTTCTCTGGGTTAGTGTTTTCTCAGAGTCCCTTTTCCTATCTTTTTATTCAGCTTTTCCTAGTCTTTCTGTAGGTTTCAGGTGTGTCTCTGGCAAACAACATCCAGCTGTACGTTATGTGATCCCAAAATCTCTTTTTGACCTGACAAGTGTCGTACAT